AAGTAAAGGTGAAATTAGGTAGGGCAGAGCCATCTATGTGTAGAGACATTTCACAAAAAAATATAAAAAATGAGCACAGCATTTTCCCCATTTTTTGTTCATTTATACCTGTCGCAAATGGGTTAATGAAGAAGTATATAAACTCTTATTTAAAGCATATATATATTTATATGTATTTGTTTATATATATATATATATATATATATATATATATATATATATATATATATATATATATATATATATATATAAATAAATATATATATATATATAAATAAATATATATATATATATAAATATATATATATGTATATTTATATATATATATATATATGTATATTTATATATATATATATATGTATATTTATATATATATATATATATATATATATATTTATATGTATATTTATATATATGTGTGTGTGTGTGTGTATATATATATATATATATATATATATATATACACACATATATATACATACACTTCAATGTTTATAAACACACAGTGTGAACAAAATGTGATACGTTTTTTTTTTTTTTTTTTTTTTTTTTTTTTTTTCACCAGATACTACTCCTGGTGATGGCACGGGAGACACTTGGCCAGTGCCAAGGACTGTCACAGTTACAGCTCCAACAGTACCAAGTGCTACACTACCCACAGTTTCTGCTACTACTACAGTAACTACCATTGCAGCATCGCAAGTGCAGCAAAACCCTGGAACTGCTGCTGCTGCCACATCAACTGCGGACGGTAATAATCAGGAAACAAGCATCTTTATTGAAGCCATGGAAGCTATACTTAACTCACAGATATAGGCTTAACCTCTGAGTAGGACTCAATAAATCTTCAAATAAAAGCTTTGAGCAATCAAAGCTCTAGAATAGAAAGAAATTTTTTATTTAGCTTTCATAAAATCTATGTGAGGGTAAAAATGAAGTGCTTCATAACTAGAAAGGAGTGAGCATGGAAAAAAAGATTAAAATTTTTGTCATTTTTCACTGAAGAGATTTTTTTTCCAAGTGTATATTGGCTATAAAAGAAAGTGTGATGATAAGAATTGTTTTGATATCAACCAGTCTAGAGGGTCATGAATATTAAAACACTGTCATAATGTAAAGTCTGCAACAGTTTTGATCAGGCCACCTCTGCCCATCCCAGAGTTTTGGAAGTGTCTTTCTGGATGTGCCCTCTGCTAACTCTTAAAAGGGTATCCTCTACATAAATACACTTCTTTCATACAAGATGAGGCTTTATTCAGACTGTATTATTTTTAAATCATATTGCTGTATGTATATATAATGAAAAGCATAATTTTATACATGTGCAAGCGCGTGCGCCCACACACACACACAGACACACACACACACACACACACACACACACACACACAGACACACACACACACACACACACACACACACACACACACACACACACACACACACACACACACACACACACACACACACACACACACACACATGCACACACACACACACATGCACACACACACACACACGCACGCACACACGCACGCACACACACACGCGCGCACCCATGCACTCAGTATGTAATTTCCTAACTACAGCCTGTGGCAATTCTTATATTTAGTTTCCATGATATTAGAAGGTATAGATTAACATATAAATTCATCATTACAATCATACATCAGTGGCTTTGAATTATATACAAGATTATTATAAATGTGACACAATCAGAGCAAGGCCTTAAGTTGTGTTTGCATGTGTTGCCCTAAGGAGGAGGAGCAGGAGCTGGGCCTCCAGAAAGCCCCAGCCCTAAATTCTTCAGATGGCTCAGTCGAGATTACTGTAGATTGTACAATTAATTTATTATGGTAGTATATTATTTAACAGGTCTACAGTATTGAGCAAAATACAGAATAGCACATTAAATTGTAAAATATATATTTTAAGGAAACTTGGAAAAGTGTCATATTAAGAAGTGAAAAATTCTAGTTCTTGAACAATGTTTTAAATGTGTTAGTGCAGCTAAGAATAGACTAAGTGATAAGGAAGTTGTGTAAATATTCCAATTTAAATTTTGTTATTGCTGATTTATGTTTATTTTCTTTAGAAGTGTAAAACTGAGCTTAGTGTGTTATTCATTATGAATAATAAAATAATACATTCTTTCATTTGAATGCAGTAGGATAATTTTTACTTTTGTATTGTAAATAATAATTATTTAGATATTTTAATAAGGGATAGGCTTATTTACTACATTATATATAAAACATCATATGCAGATCAGTTCATAGTTCTGAAGACTTTCCTTGGTTGACTTAACTGTTGTTATGCAGCTCTCATTATTTGTGACATGATGATATTACTCCTAAATCTGTTAAGCAACTTCTCTGTTATGTTCTAGAATTTTAATGTCTGATTTGCACAATTTTGAATCATATTGACTGCTCATATTTTGTTCACTTGAGATAAAGAAATATAAAGTTTATAAAAAGAATCATAAAATTTTACTGCTGTCATCATTTTATTTTCTACCTAATGAAAGGGGCTGATGAGTCAACACAACTACCACAATCAGTGACCTGAATCCAGCCTACCACAGAAATTTATCCAATCTGTAATCCAACCTTACATAACCTTACTTGCCCTTCCCTACCTTTTTGTTATAAAAGTGTGTTGAAAATCCTCATATAGAACTAATATTGCATATTTGAATACTTAGGGTACATTTTGTACTTCATTTTGTATTTCTTTTGATATCATAATTCCCTTTTATTAAGCCACTGGTAGTGAGTAATAATCATAGATGATTGCTGATATGAGATCTTGTATTCAGTACCACTTTGCCATATTTTTACTTGCTGCTATTGGCTTAACCCATCAGTGATTAGTGATGTGATTTCACATCATGTTGATTAATCACATCTTAAAAAGATAAAAATCTTTGTTTTTCTGAATATCAAAGGAAAGAGTACATAGGTGAGATCAGGTAGGATAACTAAACACTTACTGAGCCAACTAAGTGTGTACAAGTTTAATAAAATCAAATCAGAGTAGCCATGGCAAGTATGTCATGCCATCCTGTCATCAGTGGGTTAAAAAACAGTAAAAAAGTAAATTGAATTGTATGCATATAAGTCCTAAATCATGATATGTTTGTATATGAATATAAATATATGTGTGTGTGTGTGTTTGTATAATATGTATGTTATATAACACACATGTCAAAATTATTGGCACTTAGGACATCCTGCCAAACATTGCCGTTCCAAAGCCAACCTGGTCATACTCGATCAAATTGCTCTGCACAGTCACACACATGAGCCAATTGTGGCAGCCCCCAAAATATATTCTATAGGGCTTGCCCCACTTAAAATTTGAGTCTGAGGTGGCAACTCTCAGATTCAGACTTGGACTCGCTGTACGTGAAGCAAGACAGGAAGGACATCGACAAGGTTTTTCTCTTACTCCCTACTCAAGTAATGTGGCTTGCTCTGCCCCTCCCCCTACCTCCCTACCCTAAACCTATCCCTCCTCCATTTTAGTCCCATTCTTCTTCCTCTTACCTTCCCCAGTCAAATTCTTTTGCAATCCTAAATCCAGACACTCCAATCTTTACTACAGACCCAACACCTTCCCCCTCTCCTTCCCTGCACTTCCCGCAACAGACAGACTAAGCATTCCACCCCCTCTTCCCGTACCACACACTCATCTCTACCTACCTTTGCCTCTACTCTTCAGACATCAGTCTCCTCTTCCCACCTCATAAGAAAACCTTCGTCTCACATATCTCCCCAACCAACTCCATCACAGAAACTCTTGAAGATATTCAAAACTATCTATTCGAGTCCCAAACTGACACTTAAAACCACTCATCCACCTTCAAAATCCACAACTCCCACTCTCTCCACACTCAAAGCCCCCCCAATCCCTTGCCCGTTGTTGTCGTGTGGGGGCTTAGGAGGCGGAGACTGGGACCCAATGATGGGGAACTCCCCAACCTTGGGACTCGGCCCTCGACTCAACTAATTATGCATGGTCTTTTTTTCCCTTCCCACTTTTGTTTCTGTCCCTTCACCAAACCCTTCTGCTATCCACCTCCTAAGGTGTGAGAGCCGTGCTGAAAAGATGAAAGGCTGACTTTGTGCCAGTCCTGAACGGCCTGAGGGAGCCATGGGCATGGTATTCCCCTGATTTAGTTATCTAGCCCTTACCCCTCAAGGGGACCCTGAGGGGTGGACTGTTTTTATCCCCAACATAACCAGGCTTACCATGGCCAGTAATGAAAATACATCCCCACTGTTAGGGGCAATGAGGCTTGCCCCTTTATCAAATAGCCCCAAAGAAGTAAACTCACCCGATTCCCCGACCCCAGGCTCTCCTTTGACCACGGCTCCGAACAGTGCAATAACTGCCCCTTCACCAATGCCTACTAGTACAGTAGCCAACAATCAACCCTCAAGGAACATTTCCACTCTCCCAGCATGCCCAACTTCAACACCTCTACCCCCACAACCTCCAACATCAACCACCCCATCCTCCCTTATTAATACCTTACAGCCTTATAGCCCACCTCTCCATAACACTACCTCCATCAACACTACTCCATCTTCGTCACGCCCTCGCCCTTCTACCACCCGTATCTCTAAAACAATCTTGAATACTCTCTTCAGTGCAGCCAAATGGGACCGATTTTTCGTGATCTCTCCCACAGCTCCCTACTCTGACAACACCCTTCTCTTCCAACAATGCCTCCAAAAACAAGTAGGTAAAGTCTCTTTCCGTAGCCGACCCGACCGCTCCCGTCTTGTAACGGTAACATCCGAAAACCAAGCCATAGCATTAACAAAACTAACTGACCTATATGGTAACCCCATCCTAGCAGAACCCCACCCAACCCTCAATACTTGCACCGGAACAGTCTCAATCTCACCAGCAAATTGCCCAATCTATGACAAAGATTGGTCAGATTGTGGAGAAGATCTACTTGCCTGTCTCACAGACTACGATGCAACATCAGTACAATGCTACTCCATCCCTCCCAGAGGTCATCGAAAGAAACCCACTAACATAGCCAAAATTACCTTCCGTAGACATGACCTTCCCTTTAACGTCTACATAGGAGGAGAATCCCTCCCTGTTCGTCCATACCAACCTCCTCCACGTCAGTGCCAAAATTGTTGGCGTCTAGGACACCCAGCCAAACACTGCCGTTCCACAGCCAGATGCCCATTATGTGCCCAACCTGGCCATACCCGATCTAACTGCTCTGCACAATCACGCACATGTGCCAACTGTGGCGGCCCCCATAATGTATTTTATAGGGGCTGTCCCACCTACAAATTTGAATCTGAGGTAGCAACTCTCAGATTCAAACTTGGACTCACACTGCGTGAAGCCAGACAGGAAGCACGTCGACGTGGATTCTCTCTTACTCCTTACTCCAGTAATACTGCTCATTCTAACACTTCTCCTAAACCCACCCCTCCTACATCTAACCCCCCAACTAACCCCACCTACCTTCCCCAGTCAAACTCTTTTGCCATCCTAAATCCAGAAACTCCAATCTCTACTACAGATACTCCAATCACCACTACAACCCCAACACCTTCCCCTCTCCCTCCTCGCACTCCCCGTAACAGACAGAACAAACGTTCCACCCCCCCCTTCCCCTACCACACAATCACCTCCACCATCCTTTGCCCCTACTCTTGAGACACCAGTCCTCTCTTCTCCCCCTCACAAGAAATCCTTTATCCCCCAAAACTCCCCAACCAACTCCTTAGAAGAAACTATTGAAAATATTCAAGATTACTTAATGCAAACTGACACTCAACCTACAACTCCTGCTCCTTCCACACTCCAAGTAACTGCTGATATCCATCCTCCTCCTAACGATATCCCCCCTACACCCTATCCTCCTACCCCCTCCCAACACAGCCCATCCCCCCCCGACCCCAACCCCGCCCACATTAACCCTCCCACCATCCCCTCTATCCCTTCCACTCCCTCCTGGATACACACGTGAATCCCTTATGTCACAAGTATCCCCTTCCTCAGACCCTCCATCTCCTAATACCCCTCCTGATAGAACACCAACTCCCACAAATCTCCCATCTCAAACCTCTCAGTCCTTATCCCACCCTCTAGCTGCTTCCCCCTCAAAATATCCAACACGTACTGCAATCTATAACACTAAATCAACGAAAGTATAACTATCCTTCATTGGAATATTCGCGATTTTCGCTCCCACAAACCTGACCTTCGTCATATCCTTTCCTCTTATAACCCATCTATTGTATGCCTTCAAGAAACCTTTCTCACACATCCTCCAATACCAATCCCCAATTATCATTTTGTCTCTTCCCCACATTCCCTTTATGTCTCGTCCATACTTATCAATCAGAAAACACCTTATGTCACACCACCCTTTCAAACCAATGTCCCTTGCACAGCTATTCGTATCTTCCTTCATCGTTGGATCACAGTGATTTCAGTCTACTGATGTCACAATCTGATCCACCCCTATGTTCCTTATGTAATGTTCCCCTTTCAATCGTACACATCCTATTGTCGTGCCCACGTTTTGAAACAGCCCGTACCTCTGCTTTCCCCCACCTATCCTCCCTTTACCGACCTCCCAACATATCAGACATCCTTACAGAATCCCACACTTTCTGCATCAACAACCTGTTCTCTTTCCTCAAACGCATACATATCCTTTATCTAATCTAACACCCGACCTTAACCCTTTGACTCACCAATTCCTTTGCCCAGCTTAGACAACTAATCACTAACTCAACCACCTTTCACTAACATTAACTATAGTGCTACATGACCTTAGATGTCTAGCACATTTATCTTGCTTTTAACCATTAACCATTAACCATCCACACTCAAAGTGACTGCGATATCCATCCTCCTCTTACTCATAATCCCCCTACACCCCTTCTTCTTACTCCCTCCCAACACAGCCCATCCCCCCCCCCCCAGCTCCAGCTCCACCTACATTAACCCTCCTGCCATCCCTTCTATCCCTTCCACTCCTTCCTGGATACACATGTGAATCCCTTTTGTCACAACTATCCCCTTCCCCAGATCCTCCACCTCCTTATACAACACCACCTTATCTCACGCCCTAGCTCCTTCTCCTTCAAATTCTCCAACACACACTGTAACTGTTATCACTCATAAGTCAACTAAAGTATAACTATCCATCATTGGAATATTTGCGGTTTCCGTTCTCACAGACCCGACCTTCGTCATATCCTTTTTTCTTTTATAACCCATCCATTATCTGCCTTCAAGAGACTTTTCTTACACACCTTCCTATACCAATTCCCAATTACCATTTTGTCTCTTCCTCACACTCCTTTTATGTCTCATCTATACTTATCAATCGGAAAACCTCCCTTTCAAACTACTGTCCCTTGCACAGTTATTCGCATCTTTCTTCGCCGCTGGATCACATTGATTTCAGTCTACTTCTCCTCTTCCCACCCCATTGACTTTGTT